CCTCATCCTCGGTCCATGTGAGGGCTCTCTTTGGGGAACAAGGGAAGATCAACAAAGCCAAACCTCTTTGGTACCTGGCTCCTGGTGGATGCTGAGTTACTACCTGTCAACTGAATAATGACCTTTAATTAGCAGCGCGGAGGTTTGCAATTACTGTCTTATGCTGCTAGCATTGGATGTGATCCTGACGCCCGGGGAATCCTGGCTCTGCACCCTTCCTTCAAGTCTGGACAAGAGCAGCAGAGGAGCACTACCTCCTTGGCTCCCTGACTCCGCCTTGCCCTCCCAGAGAAGCTGTGCCAGGGTAAGGGAGCGGAGAGGACCCTTGCCCGGTGACTGACAGCACAGTAGATCGTGTTGTCCCTACCCCTCCCCAGTCCCCAGGCCCACCAGGCAGTTTCCAGGTTCCCACTCTTCCTCCAGGGAGCCCTCCCAGATCTCTGCTTCCTCTTTATCTGGCACACCATCTCCCCCGGGCACACAGATGAAAAGCTTTGCAATGTGTTTGTGTCATCTAAGCTCTTCTGTATTGTGCCTGATTACACACCGGGGCACATGCTCACCCTCCTACCAGGCTGATGGGAGAGACACAGTCCTTTGCTTTCTAGAACCTCAGGCTGTGAGGGAGGCAGAGCCCAGTCCCAGAAAGCCCCATTTACAGGAAGAGGCCAACCACATACAGGAAAAAAAAAAAAAAAAAGTTCCACAACTTGAGTAAGGAACACGGAGTGGGCAGTCCTGAGCTGCGGGCCCAGCCGGCCTCCTCGCAGCCAGGGTTTGTGTCCCCGCTGCAGACGGCAGGAGTGTCCAGTGTCGCCATCTTGACGTGGCTCAGCAAAGAACCCCAGAGGGTTGGATAAGACCAAGGCTTGTGTCTCTCATTACGATGTCCAGATGCGGTGGGTGGGACGCAGGGACCCGCGTGGGGGTGACGGCAGTGGGTGCTGGCCAGCCAGCACACAGAGGCGGCTGCAGGTCAGAAGCACATCGGACAGAAGCAGCTTGAAGAGAAGCAGTCGCAGGGCGCTCAGCTGCAGGAACTGACCCGGTGTCCCTGCAGAAGAACGAGTGGAGGAGTCCCCAGGAGCCCAGAGCGCCCAAGGGACAGGGAGGGCCATTCTCCATCTGTCTCCTCCTCCAGGGACATTCATTCCTTCCCGGTGGCTGACCTTAGTCTCTACTGGTGATAATCCCTCATTTTATTTTATTTGGCAAGGGAGGCAGGCATTCGGGAAGGAGCATCTAATGTAAAGAGTAAATTGCTCAGAATATCTGGGCAGGAAACAGGGTTGTGATTACTAGCCCAGTGCCCTCCTCACCACCTCAGGGAGTTCAATAATGCACAAGCTCTCATCCGGAGCCCACCAGCCACCCCTACCCATCAGGCTCCACGTGTTGGCGCTCGTCTGTGCTGCTCCACGGGGTCCAGGAATTAGCATGGTATCTGAAAACCCCACCGTATCCCAGGGAAGCCCAGGCTAGCCCTTAGCAAAGCAATC